GATTTTGCACAAAGTTCTCGCCTTAACGATTCGAACACATGTTAACATGAAGAGTAACAACAGTTGCAGCAACCCCATCCACAGGTCTAGGTCTGGGTACAGGTCTGGGTCCTGCTCCTGCTCCTGCTCCTGGCTCTGGCCTGTTCGAGGATAACACTTCGACATGATAATAAATATGCTTGAGGCACAAGGCACAAGGAAGGTGAGCCAAATGAAATTTATGTTCTCCTCCTCCTTTCTCCCTCCACTAGGCTGTCCGATCTGTGGAAAAGGAAGGGAATGGTGCCACAAGTAGCGAACGGATAAAGGAGCGTTAAGGGGGGACTTGGGCATGCAACCTGACTAGCCCCGATAGTGGCATGAGTGTAACATGTTTATATGATGTCTAATAAAATGAAGCGCGACAATTTTACATTCGTATTCCGAGCAGCTGCAACTGGGTTGCCGCCACTCCCTTGCATTCCTCTTGGCTGCACTTCGCCGCTGCCCCTACTGCCGCGCCCCGTCTCCGGGGCGATGCAAATTCGTCGCCTTTTTGGGTGGGTGCAAAATCGCGATCTTGAAACACGTTTAAGCAGCTGAAGGAGCATAAAACAAAAAAAGAATACGGGCGGGGTGGGGCCAAGCACAGAAGCTTGCACATGCAACACCATTGCCCCGTTTGGCTGATGGCTAAACCTTAACCTCCTCCCCCCCAGCAGCAGCAATGCCATCCGCGTGGCATAAAAACTGCAACGAATAAGCGCAAACATGACTGAGAAAGTCGATGATGAACCAGAAATGCGTAAAGTAGATATTTATTGAATCATGTTGTTGCCCACCAAAGCAAATCTAAGTGTCATTGACGATTATCATCATGCGAAGGCATTTATGCCTTTCTAGAAGCTTCCAGTGCTGGCGGAGCTGTTGCATGAAAGTTTCTCCAAAACATGCGATAGTGGCAGACAAGCTGACTCAGCTGAGATTGTACCGTACCATCATCAGCTAAAAAGAACGCTGCGATTTTTGGCAATAGCATTTAAACATTTTCATTAAGGCTATCAAGTATTGACATTATTGTTATCGATTGCACGAACTGACGAAACTTCAAACTTGACTGATGGTATTGACGACATTATCTTTTCACTGAATGACCCTTATGCACTTTGGCTGATGCAGGCCAGTTGTTGCCGAAGATGCCAGAAGCGTGAAATATTTACCAATGCAAAGGAAGAAAGGTGCGAGAGGCGAGAGGTAAGAAGCTCACTGCGATCGATCAATGCTCGATCAGAAGCTGCAAGCAGCTCACTATGCCATTGCGATGATGCTGCCAGCAATGCGGCAGTCCGGGCAAATGCCAGGAATGAACACAGCCGCACTGCCGAAAACGGTTGAGCATGAAACCGCCACCCGCAGAAGACAAATTTATCGCGTATGAACAGCTGACGGTATATGCGAAACGTATCACGTTTCAAACCCGATTCATCGCCGCGACGATCACCGCCGGTGTCTGTTTGCTCATCAGCTTACTGTGTTGATTTGTTTTTGCATTTCAGTTTTTGCTTTGTTTCATGATCATTGCGGTGGGGTGTGCGTGCGATGAGCCAGTCCAGTTCTTTGCCCAGCCACTGCACTTTAGGAGATCTGTGCTGTGTGCTTCCAAACAGGAAATGTTAATGATTTTACGCCTTTTGGGCAAACAGAAACAAAGTTAATCTGAAAACCAAATAAAGCGTGCAGAGAGCGAAACCCTGCAGTAAAATGCGGCTTGCCTTATAGCTGATATTTTTATGAATCATCGACAAAAACGTTTGAAGCTGGGAAAATTTCATACATCTTTCCTTTAATGACCTGTGACTTACTAGAAGGAGATATTGAGTAAGAATTATTCATGATCATCAATGCATTTGCTTAATTTATCTGCATTTATGATTTAGCGATCTTTTAATTGAGCAATTGCGAAGGAGAAAAAGTTGGATGTTGGTTCATAATACGATGATGAATTCATTATGCAGCCGTGTCAGTATCACTTTGCAAAGGACTCAGAGCGCTTACTATTTTTGATATTGTCGCTCGAGAAATCCATGATCAGCAAAGAGACGAAGCATGAAACGTTCAATCAACCATCCGTTTGTTGCCCGCATTTTTGATTCATACAATAATTGATTCACGTCAGTGCAATTGAGCTCGTTAAACAAGCAAAGGCGATTGAGCCGGGTATCGAAACATCGTCGAGATGCTGCATATGGTGGTCATGTTCACTACATACCTGCGTTGAAGTCAGCGCTCGCCTGGTAAGACTGTCTGTCAGGCTGCGGAACGCTGCATCTGTTGATGCAACTGCCCGGCAGTACCGCCCTTGCTGCGAGCAAAGCCAAAAGTGAACGCACTACTGAAAAGCTCACTTAATCAGGCTGCAAAGAGATATCAAAGCAGACGAAAACACAAATAAAATCAACAGATGCACTTTTGTTCAGGTTCCATCACTTTGGCTGCCTCATTCTGCGACAGCGCCCTCATGCACGGTAGTCCTTATAAAGGTCGTCTGTTATCGTATCTATGATGAATGATACTGAATGTCATCAACTGCTGTGAGAAAAGGGCAGTGAGGCAGGCCAGTCGAATCAGTGCTGACATGTCAGCGAAGAAAACGGGGATTGTTGATACGAGACCAAAATCAGAATTGTCGTGAAGAGGAAAGACTCAGCAGAAAAGTGGTTGCAGCGAAGAGAGCACAAAGTTAACTATGAAAGATAAAATAAAACAAGTCGGATGCTGCTAAACATCAAGGAGACATGATGATGTTGAGAGTCAAGTCATTCAAAATAAAAGTGATCATGTCATCCTTTCTCTGATTTGTGATCGACAACCCCTGCGTCTTTGCTGCTGCGCGCTGCCTTTTGAATGACCAGTGCACATATCACAAACACTTCAGAACAGTTAACTTTTGTGTTTAGACGGCTCATGCGTGTTATGAAGCACATCATCATGCATGCTCATCGTAGTGGGTGTGACTGTGTAGGTAGGGCATGTGTGGTCATGACTGCAAGCAGCAAGCAGGCTGGAGTCATGCTTTAGCAGATGAGAACAGGCCCTCAGGAATTCATTCCATAGAGATCAGTTCTGCTCTGTTTTTTTTCTGCTTATTTCCTCTTCATCTTTTGTGCTTCTTCTGGGCTTTCTTTGGCCTTCTTCTCATCTCATTTTGTTTTTTTTACTTTATTTTTTATTCCATTTAAGCATGCTGATCTTCTGATACCATGTTTATCTATTACATCAGGCCCTAATCATTGCTGCCCTTTCCCTGTTTGTCAGCTGTGGCTGATGTACCATTGTTGGCAGATTCTCTTCTGATCATAACCATATCACTGCTGAGTTCCCAAACCGGTGCTGGCCATGACATTGCCAGACGAAACCAAGATTGTCCGATGACAAAATCGTCTGCATTGTTATCAACAGCTGACGTACCAGGCTTCCGTCACCAATGTCCTTCGGCTGAAAAGTTTTAAACAGCTCATGAATCAGCCTTTAACGATTCAAACCATTTACATCACCATCGCAGGCGGATGGCGACCAGCCGGGCGAATATATCATTTGCTGAACCACTCGCGCTTTCCGCGAGCGACTACATTTAAATACTGACGCGCATCGAGAATCCATTTGCCATTTGGTTCGTCATCACCGCTGGCAGCGAATCCATCACTACCGTCGCTTCTTCACGATCGTGCCGCCAGCGGTTATGACGACATATCACGATATGCATATGATGGCAATGACGACCACATATCGCCTCGCTGCAGATACGGCGCAGTTCGGCTTGCGGCGATCCAGCGCAGCTGAAGGGTTGCCATATTTCATATGTGTTGCATATCCGGCTCTACTTGTTAAACAAAGAGCTGGGTCTGGACAGCAGAGAGAGAGAGCAGCAAAGAGGAGATCGCGAGAGCGACAGTCAAGAAGCGTCAGCCGACGCCGCTCAGAGGCCTCTCGCCATTCCCGTTGTCAGTCGTAGTTGGTATCAATCGTATTTTATCAGCCGTCAGTCGCTTTGAAACAGATCTAAACAAACATATCCACCGAAGCTGATCCATTACTACTATATTTAGTCAATAAACATATATTTAAACATAACCCTTCACATACAATTCATTTAGTTTCTTACACTTTTAATATGAATCCTCACACACACTTTTAACTGCATGCTTAGGCTTGGCGCAAACTTCTTCAATGTCCCAGGCCTCACTCTCAGCAAATACTGAACCATAAGGAATACCAAACTGCACTCCGCTGCCTAGTTGCTGTCTCTCTGCTCTGCACATTTACGAAGAAGCTCAGATTCATTCGTATATCAGCCACTAAACCCGGTACCTTTCCCCGCCAAAAATGCAAATTAATTCAAATTAATTCCTTTTGGTCGGAATACATTTTATTTTGTTTGTGTGTTTAGCTACAGTCCGTGGCACTGGATGTACCCATATATGTATATCCTTTAATCACAGAGCAAACCTTTCGCAGCGCAGCTGATATTTATCATAATTATTTATTTATAATTATTTAGAGCTATGTGAAAAAAAGAAGCGCTACCTCTGGAAAAGCTAAAAAAAAATGACCAGTTTTCAAAAATTCTTAAAAAAAAGTTCTAACATAGAAAAATAGAAATAGAAATATCCTCAAACCATTTCTAAGCCCCAAATCTTTAAGAAAATATTAGTTTTATTGCTTGAGGAAAAATCGTATCGGGTAGTGTAATCCAATAAATACATATTTAAATTAGCTGAAGGCCATAGCAGCCATTGCCATTAATAAATAAATAAATAATATCCACTCAATTATAAATCGTATTTATTCTTAAATATTCACTAAAAAAAAAACATGCAAAATGGTAACCATAAATTTAGCGGCTGAATATTAAGGGGTTTCGTGTTGTCTGGTCTGTGGCACAATCATGTGGAGATGGCGGATGTCGCTACGGGAATCGCTGACGGCGGACGGCGAACGGCGGACGGCTGTCGCCTGTCTGCTTACTGATGGCGCTGCTGTGGCTGATGGCTGCCCAAATTGGAGTGCTGCTGCTGCTGCTGGACAAAATGGCCATTCAGTGGCTCGAGGTATGCTACGGGGGACTCCAAGTTGCCCTGCGGCTGCGTCAGTGGCTGCGAATTCTGATATTCCTGGCACAAGGAGTAGTTGCCGACCTCGAAGCCGAGAACTTTGGCAGCCTGCTGCCTGTTGCGGACAATGTAGTCGTTGAGTTCCTTGCTGCAAAGGCAAAAGCGGGAATTTCTTTGAAATTAGTTTGCCCCTGCCCCTATGTGGTGGGCTGGGGGATACCTACACGTTGTCTTTCAGCTGAGAGATCTCCCAGTCCAGTTGGATGTTCTTCTCGTGCTGCTTGTTCCGAATTTGCAGGAGGCGTGCATTGTCGTCGGAGCTAATTTTTGCATACTCCTCCATGAAGCGGATCTTCTCCGCCTGGCGATTCAGCTTCTCATACAGATGGCCCATGTGCTCCTCCTTCGCGTGCAGCTGGATGCTCACCTGCAACGAGACACAACACAACAGAGCAGACCATCAGCCCGGTTCGTATTCGGGCGCTGGCTCGTACCTGATTCAGCTGCGTGTCCTTGTCGGCTGATGCCAAGTTCAGGTGATCGATGGACTTCTTCAGCTCGTTGATTTCGTCGGTGCACGTGGCTATTTTCTCGCGGTCGCGAATTGCGTGCTCCCGCAGCTTGACCACCAGCTGCTCGGACCGGAACAGCTCCTTCTTCACAATCTCCAGATCCGAGTGCAGCTGCTCCTCCTCTCTGGTCATTGGCATCGAGCTGCATTTCGGTGCTCTTCAGCTTCTGCTGCAGCTCACTGCGGTATTCGGAGGCATGCATTCGTAGCAGTCTACGACACTCTGGACCAAAGCCTCACCTGATCTGCGTGTCCAGCTGCAGAGTATTTGGCTCGTGTTCCTCGTGCACGGCCTGCAGCTGCAACAGATCCTGCACCTTGAGCTGCAAGTCGCCTATGATGCGATCCTTCTCCTCCACGACCTGATCGATATCCTCTGCAGCGGGACGCTGCTGCTGCTGTAGCTCGTCTATGAGCTGACGTCCCTCATTCAGCTCCTCCTCCAGATAGGCAATATGCTCCCTGCTCTTCTCCAGCTCTTTCTGTGTGAAGAGCAGCGCACCATCCGAACCCTTCACCACCTGATTCAGCTCCATGTTGCTGTGCCAGGACACAGAGAGATAAATAACTGAAGGGGGGGACTGCTCCGCGCCACTGCACTTACCGAGAGATTTGTTTGTTCATATCCGCCTGCAACGAGGCGATGGTGCTGTCCTTGGCCGTCATGGCAGCATTCTGTACGGCCAGCTGGCAGGCGTTTTCCTTTCGTTGCACCTCGCTGCGCCGCAGCCGCTCCCTCAGCTCGTCCAGGGTCTGCTGCCAGTGCTCCTCGCCAGCCTGCAGCTTTGCCTCGAGTTCCGCCTTGAGCCTGTTCAGCTGCTCGCTGTGATCCTTGTTGAGCTGCAGGAACCGCGACTCCATTTGCTGCTTCTGCCGCCGCAGCCAGCCAATGTCGCGGTACAGATGGCTGTTGGGTGATGCCTGTGGGCCGACAGGTGTCACACACAGCTGATCAATGCTCTCGACAATGTTCTCCATCTTTAGGCTCTATGGGAGAGACGGAAGAGAGATGGGAGAGGTGGTGTCTAGAGCAGAGGGGCGCAGTCCTACCAGAAGATCCTTCAGCTTAACTTTCAGCTGCTCTTTGCGATGGCACGCCTCGAACTCGTCCCTGGCCATCTGGATGGGCTCCAGGTGATCGTAGAGCAGCATGAATCCCGAATCGACGGCCGCCTGACAGCGATCCTTCAGATCCTGCACACTCTCCGCCGCTGCAGGCACAAATTCAAACAAAGTTCTGCTGTGTATGGCCATGGAAAACTCACGCAAACTTTGGGCCAAACGGTTCGATTCATCCTTGCCGAGAACCACAAAGCTGTACGTTCCAATCAGCTTGGAGTCCTCCGGATCCAATGACTTCAGCGATTCCACAAATTCCGATTGAAGAGTCTGCAGCTTCTGGTACTGCGTCTGGACGGTACGCAGCTGGGATTTGCCACCACCTTCGATGGCCAGACTGGTTGCCAGGCTCGTTGCACGACTCAGGGCACGCGACTCGGCCAGGGTGTTCAGGTGGGATCTGGCTTGGGGGCTCCTCCTGGGTTCTCTGGACCTCTCTGGCTCCGTCGTGTGATCGTTAAAGGAACCCGAATACGACTCCGAGAACTTGCCTTGATTTGGCATTGAGAAAACGCTCCTGCTGCGACTGCGAGAGTCACGGACCGTGTAGATGCTGCGCGACACACCGAATCGGCTGCTGGGTGACTGCGACTGTGAGCGTGCCCCAGCCACAGAGGGAGCAATTTCATTCGAAGCCTGCATATCATATATTATATATTCCTTTTGTATTTCCCTTATCGCGAAATCAACTCACCCTCAAGTTGTTGGCCAATGCCCGCAAATTACTGGCCTTAGTTGCTGTTGAAGATCGGGCAGGAGGTCAATTAGTTGGGCCCACAAGTGCCACGGCACAGAGACAACTCACGCCGTACGTATCGCGGACTGTAAGACATTGTGGATCACTTTGTGGTCACGTCACTTCTTTGCCTGCGCACAAATATTTAAAGCGCGAAACGGAATTTCATTTGTTTCACGACCAAAACAAACAACAACAAGATAACCAATTACCAATTACCAATTTAGGGCAAACACCTATAGTGCTCTGTATATATTTAAATCAAGCGTTCTGTGTATCTGTGTGCTCTGACAGGCAATGCCTGCTACAATTACTCGCACTCGCACTCGTGACTCACACTCGTACTCGCACCAGGTGTCAGGTGTGTGTGTTTAGTCCCCAGGCAACACACAAACGCTCAAAGTGGATTATCAGCTGTGGTTCCCAAAGGTTTCCTCTTTGGGTAAAGGATAAAAGCCACCAGCTAAATATTGTAGAAGCCTCACGTCAGGAGAAGCCGTAGGAAGAAAATAGAACTTTTGTACTCTTTACTGTACTCTGTTCTGATGAGTGACTCAACATGAGCGAGCGCGAGCGCAAGAGCGTGCGGAAATTCGCTGCCAGGCGAATGCCCAAGCGCTGGCGAATTCGATCGTCGAGAGAGACACCCAGAGAGAGTTTCAAGCCAGCGCCCACGACGTAAAAGCTTGTTCATAAAAACCAGACGACGAATGACATGGAAATTATATTTCTTGTAACATTTTAACTGCTTAACTTATATAATAGTAAGCTAAACACTCATATTTATGCTTAGCAATGTGCGCAATGTAATTCGTAATTGGAATTTGTAATTGGAAACTATTTTAGTTCTTGATTCTTTTCAATTATTTAAATTAAATCTGCATCAGTTCGCACATATGTATGTATGTATGCTTGCATATTTGTGCACAATTGTTATATAATGCTATAAGGTAATGCTATCCGACTGATGTTATCTAATGTGGACTTAGTCAATGGTTTACTGCAAAAATATATAAATAAGCTTCCTGCCACCTGGCCTCGCATCTGATGTGTGGGCAGAAAGAAGCCTGCACTTCACTCACTGTGGCATATGTCAAAATTAATTTCGTTGGTATTATTTTGACAGGCTTTCATGCTAAGCTGAGACTACCAGCCAACCCTCCCAGTCCCAAGCTCGATATCCAGCCAACAGAGTGGGTTTGGGTTTCAATGGGGTTGGGGGTTGATGTTCGGGTTCGGGGTTTGGGTCTGGGTTCAGCAAAGGTAAAGGTAACTTTGCCCTTAGATTTGATTTTGTTTTGGTTTCGTTTCGTTTCGAGTGTTTTTTGTGTGTTGGTTTTTTTGGTCAGTCATCGCTGGAATTTGGAATTTGGACAGGATAGATTTCTTGCACATCATCATGGCGACAGGGAATGGATAGGGGGGGGGGGAGATACACCACTGCCATACACCAGCTCCACCTTCTGCCTTTGCTCCAAAAATTCCATTTCCATTTGCACCCCCACTCCCCATTCTCCATTTGATGGCATCATTTGGACAATATGCAAATCTCATTTCCCTCAAACGCATTGAAGAGACCACAAACTGCGGCTGATATCCAGATGGCCATTAAAACCATTACTCTGGTACCTTTGCGCTCGCCCCACCGCTGACCACACCCCCCTGCTGATCCAACGACCCCTCACCCACCCCCTGCTATTCCAAGCAAGACAACAAATTACAAAAATTAAGAGACCATTTTTGTCGATGAAATGCATGAGAGAGCGAAGCGACGGGGGACAAAAGTGGCCCCAGGAACTTGGCCGGGCGGGGACATGGCTGGCACCCAGCTCCCACCCACCCAGCTAGCCCCCTGTAGGTGAGAGGCGTGTGCAAATTAATGAAATTAAATCGTCTTCATTTGATGGTTTTCCGAGCAGGGCAGAGAGGTTCACTCAATGGCGCACTCCCTGCAGGTCTCAGTCTGACAGCACAGCCAATGTCCCCTTGTAAGTTTCTGAATGGGGGGGAAAGAAGTTGGGAGAAAGTGTGACAGAACAGAGCAGGAAGAAAGGTGGAGAAAGTTGCCTTAAAGCTATCTCAAATTGAAATCGAATTAAAGGAAAATGATTAAAGGAAAGACAAGGTTTCGTACCTTGGTAATTGGAAAAAGTTGGCAATGACGGAATATGTTCAACGAATATGTGTACAGATTCGTACGAATTCAACCAAGAATGCAAATAAAATAAAACGAAGACTTACAGCGCGGTAAGGCAGCAGAAACGCTGTGAGCCGCGGCAAGGGCCGAGACTCTACTGCTCGCTCTCTCGCTTGAACGAATAGATATCACGAATCGATTTGATATTTTGCTTAGCAAAAACCAAAATTCATTTGAGTTTTGTTATCTACTCTGAAATATATCCAGAAGGCCTAGACTAACAGCAAGGGTACATTCCGATATTCCTGCTGATCCATCATTCCTACATTTATCTGATATATGAAAAGACAATTAATTTACTTATTTAGATATTACATATGTTTAGATTATCTTTTCCCCAGCAATTATTATTAATTGTGATCCGATTTGGTGAAGAGTTTCAGCCATCTTCAAAACTGAGTGATTAGCCTGTGAACAAAAATACAGATGAACATGGATATATGTATATATGTATGTACCTATTTATGTTACAACTGTGGATGCCAATCAAGGCGTAAGTAAAATGGAGGGAATGCAGTGGCAAGAACAGAGGCAAACCCCACTTAACCCAATCTTTTCTTAACGGTTAGGGCACTCAGCATTCGACCCCAACTGGTAATCGTGTTGCTGCCGAAGGAAGGTCTGAATCGAATCGGCTGAATCTGCCACCCACTGGGAAGCGGTGCGGTGCGGAACGAAACGAAACGGAGATTGTGTTTTCACTTTCGACATTGCATTTAATACGTATGAAATTGTTTGGTGATGGGATCCGGAACGTGATGCGAATACACAGAATTAATTGCAATCGGTGCGGAGCGGTGCGTTGGCAACAGGAGAATCAGGCCGAACTCCGAAGGCGGCAGGCATTCCAGTCCAGTCAAGGACAGGACGGGACAGGACGGTTGGGTCCAGCCAGGAAGCATCCGTTCATAATGGCACTGGATACGTACTGGCCGATGTTTCATGCTTCATGCTGTGTGCTGGCTGCTGGATGGTGCTGGCTGCTGCCTGTGGCTTTCTTTTGTCCCCGTCCGCACACAAAAGCACAGGGGCAAAAGGATAGCCCAACACCTTTGCCAGTGCCAGTGCCAGTGCCCGTCCCCACACCCATGCTGCCACCCTGCTCGATACGCTGATCTTTGTGAAAGGTCCTGCAGCACAGCACCCTTCCTCCACGTGCAGCCGGAGATCCAATGGACAACAGAAATTAGCAACAGGAAACAACCGACAAACGACAATGCAGGAATCGGCAGGGGCAAGGGTATGGGTATGGGCATGGCCAAAGGCATGGGCATGGAAATGAGCCCAAGCGTGTCCAAGCGGTCCGGGAACCGGGAACCAATGACTCGGGCTGGTGAATGGAAATGAATAAGTGAGTGAGTGGCAGGAGTGGCAGGAGTCGCAGGAGTGTCGGTGTGGAGCTGGGGTCAAAAGCGCAGCGCCAATTGTTTGGAACAAACGCCCACAAAAAACTAGTCAGCTAAATGAAAGGACGAGGCTAGAGCCGACACCTGGCTATTAGCTTTTTTTTTTTGGGTAATGGCCACCAATGGCCCCACCTCCAATGGAGCGCTGCTCTGGCACAGAGAGAGAGAGAGAGAGTGACGACAGATACAGATGCAGCGATAGCTATGGAGATGGAGAGAGGCATAAGAGAGAGATATGGAGCGATGTGGAAGACACGGGACAGGCTACTCCATTGATCCTTAAAGGCAGCCAGCTTGTTGTTGCACACTGCCAGGCGGCATTAAATTTAAAGCTCATTAAATTGAGAACTGAACTGAATCAATTGACTGCCTGTCCTTTGCTTCGTTTCGAAGGCAACTTTACGCTGCGCCCCATTGCAGATCCGTGCACTCAGTTCGGGATTTGTATTTGAGATCCGAGATGAAAGCATAAACAATCCATAGATGGGTCAGTCCATGGATTTCTTTCGTTGTATTTGCCAAAGACAAAACAGAACACAATTATTACATATAAATATAAATAAACAAAGCTCTGCGATTAATGTCCCAAGGTATTCCCATTGTCGATCAGTGGCAGTGAACCTCTGGCCTGGTCTCCTGGTCTCCTGGTGAGCCCATTGTTGCTTCTGTCTGTTAAGGTCCGACTGCGGGTCGGTCAAATCTCTGTCCTCTGTCCACATACATATGTACCTATATGCATATGCATATGTCGTCATTGTTGTGGCACTTGTGAATGTACGAGGAGTATTAACGGACATGTGTGGCTGCTGGGCGCTTCCATTGTGTTGCGGGATGGGGCATATGCCCCAAACAAAGAGAGTGTGGAGAGGCGCTCGCTTTCGCTCTACTTAATGGGCCAAACAATGGGCTGAACTTCCTGCCATCATAACAGCAAACAAACAAACAAACAAACAAACACAAATACTCGATCACTTAGCCCATGCCGAACGATATCGATACCGATACCGATTTGCCCTTTGCCATTTGCCATTTGCTTGCCCACTGCCAGCTTAAGGTATGCGCCAGTCCTTTACAATATTTACCACTTTATTGGTGGGAAAATACTCGTGCTGGCCAGTGCCAATTTTCATGTTAAACTGGAAATAAAGTGCCGTGCCGAATGAAATTTATTGCAGCGGAAATGAGCGCAGAGACTTGAGACAGACAGAGAACACTTTAAAAGAACACCCGCATGGCAGCAGCAGCAGCAGCAGCAGCAGCAACAGCCACGCCCACATGTACTACATCCCCACAGCCCATTTGCATTTCCACGGGGGTGCTGCATATGCGAAATGCTTTGGCCCTGTGCCACTCGACTTGCAGCCCGCATTTGGAGCATTTGGGTGATACTTGATTTGCCTGTCAGCGGTCACACAGTTAGGGGGCCCACTGCAATTACTAAAGCGCCGCCGCCACTCCCCAAACGCGCGCGCGGCGCTTATAGCTCATCCAAGG